ACAGTTAACCTTCACGCTCACTCCTGCACCATTGTATTCCTGTCTCAAGATGTATCATCAACATTTTATTTCATTTTTTCGTTTCATTTTTTAAAATTTTAAATTGTTATAGAGTACAATTTTTCATATCTCTGGTTGTACATATTAATTTTATTTTTTGTGATGTTCTAGTTTATTTGCTCTAAGAAGAAATAGATACTGAAGTGTGTCAAAGGTTTCTTAAAGGAAATCATGACCAATAGAATGTAGGAAGGCACATCAGAGCTCATTGATTCAATTTCTTATCTAAACAATGAGAAGCAGAAGCCAAGAAGACTAACAGTACACCAGGAGGACTCCATAATTATGATAACACTATCTAACTTTCATCTTTGTTCGCATAACTGCCATTCTTTCTAGCCCTTAAGTCTCCGTGACTTTCCTCCGTGTGTTAACTACTGAGTGAATACTCCGCTGGTTTGGTCTCCTCTGGCAGGTTAATGTACCAAGTAGTCTTGTTAGTTAAACTCATGCCAAATCTGCCCTGGACTCACTGAATTCACCCGGGACAGGATTTCTCCAGACCCATGTGGGTAATACTCAGAGGACACTGATCAGTCTTTCAGTCCTGGAGGGTGTGGGAATGCATTCCCAGAGGGACCCCTGAGGCCAGGCTTTGTGTGCCCACCTCTGGTGACCTGGTCACACATCAGCCTCATCAAGCTGACCATCTGATATTGCTTACATTGGTCCCCTGAGCAGTAGGATTTTGGGTCAGTTGACAGGGCTTATGAGAAACCATAGAGTAAACATGTGTAAAATCAGGGAAGCCTGTGTGCGGTGGCTGTGGCAGAGCTGGATGCGGCTCAGGAATCCCATGGAGTGTGTGTGAGGATTGGGGGCAGGTGGAAGAAGAGGGAAAAGGGATCATTTTGGTCTCCCAGGGGGCCCTCTTCTTTTCCTACTCATGAATATCTGGTTCAAATGGTGAAAAACATCCAAACAGAGAATTTCATGGAGGTTATTATGGGATTTGTGGATTTAAAAAATCAGTATTATAAATACTGGTAATGTTGAGCTACATTTGCTACTCTAATGATTAGTGAAATTTAAATAATCATAAGATAATGTTAAAATAGTCAAGTCTGGGGCTGCAAAGGCCTGGGCATGCTGTTTTCTACTTCCAAAGGAAGAGCTTGGAGGACTCAACAGAGAGGTTTTGAACATTCTAAGACTCCTGGATTCCTCAGGGTTGGGCTGTCCCTATCAGCAGGGGGAGTAACTACCTGATGGGTTGTGTGTCAGCTGCTCATAGGGGTTTCTTCAGATATTTAATGAGTACATGACTTGACTTCACAGCCAAGATCCTTCTGCTCCGATCCCCATTAAGACTGGAGATAAGGAATGTGGCCCCTTTCTCTCCTCCTTGCTCCCCCAATACATCCATGGGAGCCCCTTGTTCCTCTTCAGACACAGCATGGCTCCTGGGCACTGAGTGTTCACCCCAACAGAGAGGTACCAGAATCCTTCCCAAGACTGGGAATTTCATGTGAGATTTTATTCTCTTTCTGAATGACCCTGCCAGTGACTCCTCTCCTGTTCCCAAGATATTTAGGAGATGAAAATTTCAGAGCTGTGTCCAGGGAGTTGGCTTCTGCTGTCCTGGGTGTCTGAGGGCATTATTTCCTAGACATGTAGTCAGTTGCTCTAAAAATGAGAATTTAGAGGGGAAGGCACTAAAGTCTGAGCTTCCCTGTGAACCCTTCCAGTCTTGATAGGTCCCACACTTGCCTCCGGGTACCTCGGAATACTGAGGCCGAGGTGTCACAGGAGGATGGTACCTAGTGGCCTCTCTGTCCCACAAGCATCGCACGCTCCTACGTAAACAACCTTTCTCCTCACTGTTGTAATTAGCACACACATTTTTTTTAAGTGACTCATGGCAGGATTCGGGGGTGGGGTGGGTAGGTATTTATTATGTGTTGGGGAAATAGAATCAAAACCAGAATCTTCTCCCAACCCCCAAATCTTCCCCACGAAGGGAGTAGAGAAAGGAAACATTAAAGCAGAATGTAATGTGCATCACAGATAATGTGCTAAGAGATCACCAAGACAGAGGGAAGGGAAACCTCACCCTTTCATAGAGATGTGTTAGTCAGCATCACTGTGACCAAAATATCCAATACAAACAACTCAGAGGAGGAAAAGTTAATTTTGTCGCCCAGTTTCAGAGGTTTAGTCTATGGTTGATGGTTTCATTGCTTTAGGCCAAGGGAGGCAGAATGTCATGGCAGAGGCGTGGGGTGGAGGAATGTTGCTCACCTAAGCCCACCAGGAGGCAAAGAGAGAGGAAGGGGCAGGGGCCACAGGAAGATGCACCCTCCAGGGGGCCTCCCAGTGACCCACCTCCCCCAGCCATGCCCCACCTGCCTATAGTGACTCCATTTAAAGGGTGGACTGATCAGGTCACAGCTCTCATTGTCTATTTTTTTTTTCACTTCAGAATATTCCTGCAGTAACACAGGACTCAGGGGACATCTCACAGCCAAACCATAACAATAGTCATGAAGATACACAATAGATATTTGTTCTCAAGATTATTGCTTTAATAGTGAGTCCTCAAGTAAGAGAACTTCATGTCTCCATTCCTCACTCATGACTCATCCTGGATTCACCTGGCGACTGGGATGACCACCTGAGTTAGGGAATTGACTTCACCCAAAGGAAAAACAAGCTTCTATCTTTAGGATGGGGGTAGTTTGGAATCTGGAGTCAGGTACCCCTGAAGTCAGACTCAGTCTTTTCCTGGACATAGGGGCATTATCTTCTCTGATGCTTCCATTTCAAGAAAGTGGTTCCCAGGTCCTTAAGAAAGATATTCCTTGGCCATTAAACTCACAAAGGATCTGTTCAGTCTTCAAAAAGGTTTATCTACAATTTAAGAAGGAGGAGAATATTTAGAATTACAAAATTTCTAAGCAAATGCTCTTAAAAATATATGGTTATTTCAACATAGGGATTTGTCCTTACAAAGGGGACATTGACATGGGTTATCATTTGACAGCTCAGCCATTAGCCACAACCTGGTTATCTTAACTGTCATATTTCACACCAAAATTTATGTAAACAATGTGGGCATTATATATTTTCATTTTCTTATTTTTTTTCAAGTCATTACATTGTTTTCTTTATCACTATTTAGTACCTTGAACTAGATTTACCAGTCTTTTGGAAATGGTAGTTGTCAAAACCACATACTGGAAATACCGTGTAATAGTGAGTCTTTGTAGTAACAATCTGGTATAATTACAAAGTATTCTGTTTTGTTTAATATGGGTCATATCTTATTCCAGTAGCAGTATTTTTATCATACTCTACATTCCTAGAGTCTTGGTATATATTAATATTTATTTCTATTTTTTCATTTTTTATGTGGTGCTGAGGATTGAACCCAGTGTCTCATGCATGCGAGGCAAGCACTCAACCACTAAGCCACTACCCCAGCCCCTTAATATTTATTTTTTAGTTGTAGTTGGACACAATACCTTTATTTTTATGTTTATTTTTATGTGATGCTGAAGATTGAACCCAGGGCCCCAGACTTGGTATATATTAATGCAAATAGGATATTACTTTCAAAGCCAGACCTTGATTTATAAGTAAAACTGAAGAATCAGAATCAGTTGACTTCTTAAAAATATAGATTTGATCAATATTTTGAATAGGAGATATATTTAAAATACAAAAGGTGAAAAGTGTTTATAGCTCAAAGTATCTCTGTCCCCAATGTCACCAAACCACTGGGGGTTTTCCCTTCCTCCCCAAAACACATGGTCCAACTTCTTACATATTCCACCAGAGACAAACTACAGGTTTAGCTAAAATCATGTGCGCACAGTTTATTATTTTTTTTTCTAAAAAACCACAAATGGTACCACACTCTATACACTGACCTGCCCTTTTCCTTTTTACTGATTCATTGTCAGAGAATGTCAAAAATAGCAATAATATTGGATTTCTTTTTTACCCTTTGGATTCAATGCTTTCATTGTTTCCTATTTAAGTTGATTTTGGATTTGAAATTTAGATAGCTATATTTTATGTATCTAACATATTTTAATACGTTAAAGAATCAGTTGCATGGTGCAACATGATACCTATCAATCACACGTGGGTGTTGAGTTTGTGATATGTGGCTAGTGAGATGAAGAAACTGTACTTTTAATTTTGTTTAATGTTAATTTTAAATAGCTGCTGTGGCTAATAATTATTGTATTGTACAATGCAGGTCTTAGAAATTTCTCCCTGCAATCTGTTAATATGGCCAATTATATTAATATGTTTTTTTAAATGTGGACAGCTGGAATAAGCCCATTTTGTCATAAAGTAGAGCTCTAGCATTTTCCTGGG